CCAGTCCATCCCAGTCCATCCCAGTCCCTCCCAGTCCCTCCCAGTTTATCCCAGTCCATCCCAGTTCCATCCCAGTCCATCCCAGTCCCTCCCAGTCCCTCCCAGTCCATCCCAGTCCATCCCAGTATCCCCAAATCCCCATTTCCCTATCATTTTTGCCCTAAAATTCAGATTTTTCTCCATTTTTTCTCATAATTTCCCCATTTTTCCATGGATTTCCTCCCGGTTTTTTGCTCCCAGTTTATCCCAGTCCCTCCCAGTCCATCCCAGTTTGTCCCAGTCCATCCCAGTCCATCCCAGTATCCCCAAATCCCCATTTCCCCATCAACTCCCACCAATTTCTCCCCCAAAAATCCCATTTTTTCCCATTTTTTCTCATATTTTCCCCATTTTTCCATGGATTTTCTCCCGGTTTTTTGCTCCCAGTTTATCCCAGTCCCTCCCAGTCCCTCCCAGTCCATCCCAGTTTATCCCAGTCCATCCCAGTATTCCCAGTTCCCCATTTCCCACCAATTCCACCTCAAAAATCCCATTTTTTTTCATATTTTCCCCATTTTTCCACGAATTTTCTCCCGGTTTTTTGCTCTCAGTCCATCCCAGTCCATCCCAGTCCCTCCCAGTTCATCCCAGTTCATCCCAGTCCCATCCCAGTATCCCCAAATCCCCATTTCCCCATCATTTTTGCCCCAAAATTCAGATTTTCCCCCATTTTTTTCCATATTTTCCCCATTTCTTTTCCTATTTTCCCCATTTTTTCTCCGTTTTTCTCCTGGTTTTTTGCTCCCAGTCCATCCCAGTCCATCCCAGTCCATCCCAGTTCATCCCAGTTCATCCCAATATTCCCAGTTCCCCATTTCCCACCAATTCCACCTCCAAAATCCACATTTTTTTTCATATTTTCCCCATTTTTTTCCCGTTTTTCTCCCGGTTTTTTGCTCCCAGTCCCTCCCAGTCCATCCCAGTCCCTCCCAGTCCATCCCAGTCCATCCCAGTCCATCCCAGTCCCTCCCAGTCCATCCCAGTCCATCCCAGTATCCCCAAATCCCCATTTCCCCACCATTTCTGCCCCAAAATTCAGATTTTTCCCCATTTTTTTCATATTTTCCCCATTTTTCCATGGATTTCCTCCCGGTTTTTTGCTCCCAGTTTATCCCAGTCCATTCCAGTCCATCCCAGTCCATCCCAGTATCCCCAAATCCCCATTTTCCCATCAATTCCCATCAATTTCACCCCAAAAAATCCCATTTTTTCCTCCAAAACCCACATTTTTTTTCCATATTTTCCCCTTTTTTCCACAGATTTCCTCCCGGTTTTTTTCTCCCAGTCCCTCCTAGTCCCTCCCAGTTCATCCCAGTCCATCCCAGTCCCTCCCAGTATCCCCAAATCCCCATTTCCCCATCAATTTTACCCCAAAATTCAGATTTTTCCCCATTTTTTTTCATAATTTCCCCATTTTTTCTCCGTTTTTCTCCCGGTTTTTTGCTCCCAGTCCATCCCAGTTTATCCCAGTTTATCCCAGTCCATCCCAGACCTGCAGCCGTGCCAGGAGGGCGTCGCTCCTCTCGCTGGGCAGGGTTTGGTTGATGCTGACGATGGCCGAGGAGAACTCGGCGTAACGCCGCGTGATCTGCGGGAAAACGGCAAAATCCCGGAATTCCGGGAATTCCCGGGAATTCTGGGGGCGTTCCCGCGCTCTTGGGGGGCAGAGGGGAGGGGAATTGGGGGGAAATGGGGATTTTTGGGGGAAAAATGGGGATTTTTGGGGGGAAAATGGGGATTTTTTTGGGGGAAAATGAGAAAAAAATGGGAAAAAAATGGGAAAAAAATGGGAATTTCTGGGGAAAAATGGAAATTTCTGGGAATTTCTGGGGAAAAAATGGGAATTTTGGGGGAAAAATGGGGATTTTGGGGGGAAAAATGGGGATTTTTGGGGGAAAATGGGGATTTTTGGGGAAAAATGGGAATTTTTGGGGAAAAATGGGGATTTTTGGGGGGAAAATGGGAATTTTTTGGGGGAAAATGGGGATTTCTGGGGGAAAAATGGGAACTTCTGGGGAAAAATGGGGATTTTGGGGGGAAAAATGGGGATTTTTGGGGGAAAAATGGGGATTTTTGGGGGAAAATGGGGATTTTGGGGGAGAAATGGGAAATTTGGGGGGAAAATGGGGATTTTTGGGGGGAAAATGGGAAAAAAATAGAAAAAAAAATGGGAATTTCTCGGGAAAAAAAGGGAATTTCTGGGAAAAAATGGGATTTTTTTGGAATTCCTGGGGATTTCTGGGGAAAAATGGGAATTTTTTGGAATTCCTGGGGATTTCTGGGGAAAAATGGGAATTTTTGGGACTTTCTGGGGACTTCTGGGGAAAAATGGGAATTTCTGGGAATTTCTGGGGATTGTTGGGGAAAAATGGGAATTTTTGGGAATTTCTGGGGATTTCTGGGGAAAAAAAAGGGAATTTTTTGGAATTTCTGGGGATTTTTGTTCCCGGGATTTTTTCCCCTGAATCCCCGGATTTTTCCCAGGATTTTTCCCCAGAATCCCTGGGATTTTCCCCCCAAATTCCCAGGATTTTTCCCAGGATTTTTCCTGGATTTTCCCAGGGTTTTTCCAGTGATTTTTCCCAGTTTTTTCCCGGGATTTCCCCCCCATATTCCCAGGATTTTCCCCCCATATTCCCAGGATTTTCCCCCCATATTCCCAGGATTTTCCCAGTGATTTTTCCCGGATTTTTCCCGGGATTTCCCCCGGAATTCCCGGGATTTGGGGCTCACGTAGTGCGGGCGCGTGTCCAGCCCCCCGAGGCGCTGGGGGTCGGTTCCCTGCACGCTCTGGATGTGAAGCTCCAGGATCAGCTCAAAGCGCGGCCACAGCAGCTCCAGCAGCCACCCCCAGTACCTGGGAACGCCACAAATCCCGGCAATTCCCAACTTTTTCCATGGGAATGTGGTGGGAATTTTGGGGGGATTTTTTGGGAATTTTCTGGGATTTTTTTGAGAATTTTTTGGGGGGATTTTTGGGATTTTTTTAGGATTTTTTTAGGATTTTTTTTGATTTTTCCGGTATTTTTAGGGGTTTTTTTTAGGATTTTTGGGGGAATTTTTTGGGATTTTTGGGGAATTTTTTGGGATTTTTTTGAGAATTTTTTGGGGGATTTTTTGGGATTTTTTAAATATTTTTTTAGGATTTTTTCGGTATTTTAGGGGATTTTTTTTAGGATTTTTTGGGAATTTTGGGGGGATTTTTTGGAGAATTTTTTAGGATTTTTCTCAGGAATTCCTTGAGAATTTTTTCC